CCGTCTTTCCTATAGGCCCCCTTTAGGTACTGAAAGGCCGCAATCAGGTCTCCCCGCTTCATGGTCAAAAAAGGGGAAGGGCCTAGGTGTGCTGCTTTTGGCTGGGGTTCAGTGGCATCAGGTTTGCAAGTGTGAGTTATGGGACTGTGATGAGCAAACCAGGGCCTGGTGCAGCTGTGGAAGAGCTGAGTGTGGGGCAAGCACTGCTGCTTTTCTTCAGCCATCTCTGGCCGGGAACCAGAGACCCCACTGGGGTCCCCGGGGCAGAGCAGCCCAAGGTGCAGCAAAGCCCTGTGCAAATTTTCACTCCTTTCTCCACTTTCAGCCATTCCCATTCCCTTGCTGTTGCCTCCTCAGGCTGGGGACCAGGAGACAGGTGCTGGCTGTGTGGGAAAGCAGCGATGAGTGGGTGCACATCCCTCTCTCTTTGGGCCCTTTCTGAGGGATGCAGGGGGGGGAACAGCTCCTTCCCCAGCTCAGACAAGCTGTAGAAAGCTGTGTTTGCAGAATGGGGACTTATACTGAGGGAAGGAGGGAAAAGAGGGAGCGTGACCAACCCAGGTGTGTTTCCCTGCAATTGCTTAACTTGAGCTTTTTACCTCTAAAAAGGTCACAAGATAATTCGTGGCATGTCGGCTCCACATTTTCCATCTCCAGTCGAAGCCTGGTCCTTGGGGCACTGTTACTGCACGGCGTGGCAGTGCCAGTGCAGGGGTGCAGCAGTGGAGGTGGGACACACACACACACATTTTCCTCCTTCAGACTTGCGGAGGTGGGTGCGTGGCAGGTGATCATTAGCATGGCCAACTGCTGCCACCCCAGCTGGGTTTGCACGGCCTTCCCCAGCCTGCACGTGTGCCCTCTGCATGTACACCCCCAGCTGTGTTTCCATCCCACTGGAGACCAGACAGACCTCCAGACCGCCAACACCAGGCTGCAAGGGAGAAATGGGGGATGCTGAGGCCCTTTGGAGAGAAAGGCAGGGCTCTCCCCCGAAGGTAGATTGCCCTTTTCCTAACACCCCTCATCCCAGCGATCACATTTGGGAACGCTTCTCTCCCGCACCGTAAATTTGACACCGGGCCGGCTGGAAAACTCTCATTGCCATGGTTACTGATGGTCCTCGCTGCCGAGACATGGGCCAAGCGCCAATGAACGCGCCGGGGTCTGGGCACTGGAAGCAGTGCAGGCCCCCTCCTCCCAGTCGCACGTCTGCCTGGTCCCTGGGCTGCTGCCCAGGGAGGCCGGGACAATTTGGTGTGCCTTACACCCGGTACAGACCCCCACTGTTAGCTCTGGGCAGGAGCTGAAAGGCTGAAGGCGATGAAAGGGAGGCGCGGGGGGTGGAAGGGACAACTCAGCCGGGGAAAGAGCCTGCTTCTCCAGGCGGAGAGGGGGCGGCAGGAGCGACAGGCAGGCTGCCAAGCTGCCCTCAGGAATCTGAGTTTGAGGTGTGAGTATAGCTCCCCATCACCCTCCATGTCCATCCCTGGCTCCTTCACCAGCACGCCGGCGGCCAGAGCGACTACCTCCCTTTTGCAAAGGAAACTCTGCAGCAGAGATGGCACTGGCCACAGTCATCCTTACCAGTCTGGGGCTGGAAGCAGAAGCGTCCCTAATGCCACACTTTTGTAATCGGAGAGCAGTCCTCCTGCCGAAGATAATCCCAGCCCTCGACGCTGCAGCCCCAGCGCTCAGCAGTGGAAGCAGGATGCCAACGCTCCCCTCTGGAGCTGGGAACGAATGGGAAGAGCCCCCGAGCAGGCTTGTCCCCCGCAGAGCAGCATGGCTGGGGACAGCTCATCACAAAAAAGGGCCGACAGAAATGTTTTGAAATTTGGAGTCTGGATGCTGCTGTGGTACCCAGCGATAGCTGTGCGGCTGCAAAGGGCAGGGCAGGCCTGCTGCCGGGGCTGCCGCCTCCCACCCCAGGGAGGAACAGCAGGCTGCCAGCTCCTGACTCACACTTCCAAGCCCTTCTGGATCACTTGGGGTGGCAGCGTGCTTTCTCCCTGTTCCACGTTACACTGATTATTGATGTATGCCGCAGGGTGGGGGAGAAGGTCCCTCGGGACAAAGTCACTGTATCCAGCAACTGCCCCAGAGGGATCTGTGCAGGGAAGCAGGCAAGGATCTGGCCCAGCAAAGAGCTCCTCAGACTACCACCAGTTAGAATGGAGGCAGAAGCCTCAGGGTACAACCTTGAGGGGTGTCACTCGTGCAGTGCCTGCCACATTCTCATGGATGTGTCTGGAGACGGGAACTAAAACATCCATCTCTTTATTTCAATGGCAAGAAACAACAACATCCAAACGGTCCAAGTTGAAAAGCGATGGGAACACAGGCTCATGCCAGGCCCTCGGCCTGCTGGAGCTGGCGCCCTCACGGAGTTACAAAAATACAGTCCTACAACAGCATCTAAGAAACACAGACCTAGGTATTGCACAGAACCCCTGCCCTCCGCAGGCAGGGCGACCAACACCCCCTCCGCCTTCGCCAAAATACAAGCCAGGCTTGGAATTGCACAGCAACTCAGCTCACGCGCGCACAGAGGGGCCAGGCGGGATGGGGGACAGTGTCTCTCTCAACTACCTGTACAAAAACTACAAGGAAAGATACAAAACCGGGGAGAAAGGGGGAAGCTTTCTCTGGGGCTGTAAACGCCCGAGGGCCAGGCTGGGTGTCCTTGGCTGGGAGGCAGCAGTATGCACCTCTGAGAAGATGACAGTGTCTTGGCTGTCAGTTGCCAGTGAGCAGTGCTGATGGAAACTCTGGGCACTGCTGGAGCATCCCAGCTCTGAACGTGTCAGGGTGTTATTGTCAGCACTGCCCCTGGCACTCCACACTGCCCTGTGCCTCTGCTCCCCCCCACAGCATACCCCAATCTTCAAGGGAACTTGCCCCCTGGCCAAAAAGCCTGGAGGGTATTCTGGGTCTCTGCAGTATGCCCATACCCTTTTTTTGGTATTGGTATTAGGAGAGATTCGAACAGTGCCACCCAGCACTACCCAGCGGGCGCAGCCGGGTGTGAGTGCAGGTGGGACCGCACAGACCCCATGCGGCAGCAGCATCCTCTCATGGGACACAAGCTGCAAGCAGCAACCCGCTGCTCAACCGCTGCCCACCCAAAGGTGCCGAGCGGGTCTGCAAGGCTGCCAGCTCTCCTCCCCTGCTGGCACCTTCTGGTCCCAGAGACTGTCAGTGCTGCAAAAGCCTTGCTGAAGGGCTGGCTCGATGCCTTTGTGGATGCTCAGCACCCACAGCATCTGCAGGGGAGATGGGTCATGGTGCCTCGTGCCCCATGGCAGGTGGTAGATGAAATGCCATCCCACTGCAGGCGTGACTTGGGGCTGGGAGCCCTGATGCTTCCTATGCATCCAAATCCCTCCATCTGCTAAAACTGGAGAGGGTGAGCTGGTGGCCTGCATGGGGAGCTTGTGTCTAGGCTGGGTGAGCTCCCAAGTTTTCCCTGCAAAGCCCTGCGCCCAGTTTGGGGGATGGAAGGATTCGGACTCAGAGGATGAGTGTTGACAGGTTGGGGGGCATGGGGGGAATCCCTGAGAGCAGCACTGACCCCAGCACTGCCCCTCCAGCCCAGTACAATGTCTAGCATCGGGGGGGGGAGCTGAAGCAGGCAGGGCAGCCAGATCCAAGTCAACATTCGGGAACGACAATGGGCTCCACCACAGCCACTGGCCCAGGCCAAGCATAGCTCTCCACATCTACGTGCTGCAGCAGGCTCACAAAGGGATGCCCAACAGACACCAGGTGTGCAGGCTGCCTCACCCAGCCCTGCAGAGAGAAGGATGGTGGGAGGGCTCGGTAGCCTTCCTCCATGTTATCCCTGCCCTGGGCCAGACTGCCAACTGGCTGCGCACTAAAGGCAACCAGGAGGGCAGCAGCTGCCCTGCTTCCAGCTGCACCAGCCTCAGATGCAATGAGGAAAGGCCGGACGCACCAGGCACTTCCCTGCTGCTGCAGAAGGCCGTGGGTAGGACAGCACAGAGACCCAGGGCAGAAGGGAGGAGGAGGCAGGGGCACTAAGTCATGGTGCTTCCCCTGGAGCAAAGTCTGAGGCTCACAGCCTCTGCTGTCTGCCTGCACAGCCTGTGCCTCCTGCGGCTGTGCCAGACAGGAGAGGAGGAACAGGACATGAACCTAGCCAAGCATCTAAAGGAGGGGCACTGTCGGCAAGGAGAGGGGGTGAACAACGATATCCCACAAGGATCATAGGTAGGAGTTTGTGGAGGGGCACTGGCATCACTCCCATGCACAAGGGTGACCCGGGGCTTCAAACTGGCCTGCTCCAACAGGGCTGCAGGGATGGAGCCCATCCAGGGCAGGGAACGTGGTGGATGAGGGGCGAAGCGGGGGACACACAGAGAGCCAGGCTTCAAGTCCCAAATACCCACTGTCCTCATAAACAGAGTCCCAGCCCAGCCTGGGGCAGAGCTCTGCTGGCTTCATCTCCTCTGGGGACCAGGTTGACATCTAGGGAAGGCTGGGCCAGACTCACAGCTCTGCCAGTCGCCATCATCCTCTTCTCGTCCTGCCCGAGCTGGCCTGAACTAAGGCACGCCAAGCACTACACAGCTGTCTCCTGGTCCTCCCGCTGGATCATCTGGTAGTGCTGTCGGTTCTCGAGGTAGGCAGCTAAGTCGGGGTCATTGGCTTTCTCGGCCCGGTGCTTGGGGGTGTCTCCCTGCATAGGGGAGGCAAAAGATGTCAGAGCACCGAGCACTGCCTGAACACTACCTCAGCACCCAAAGGTGCCCTCACTCCCCCACCAAAAAGGTGGCTGCAGCTGGGTCCAGCAGAGCCTGCAGCCAAGCCCCGAAGC